TCCTTCTAGTTGCTGTACGCGGGACCCGGCCCCGGGTTGGGCAGAGATGTGGTGCCTCGGGGCGCGCCCGGGATCCGAACCCGGGCCGCCAGCATCAGAGCACGCGCACTTAACCGCTAAGCCACGGAGCCGGCCCTATGGGTGTATTTTTAAAATACTGATTTGGAGGCTGCCCTAGCTAAAGATTAAGAAAGAATGTTGAATACTTTTGTATCTAATAGAATTTTTACGTATGGTTATATTTGGATCGTGTATCTGGCATTAAAAATTCCTTGTGTCCTCCCATCAGGAGGTCGTTCTCGATACCGGACCACTTCATCAGCCAACAATCCCAACCTGATGTATCAGGATGAGTGTGACCGGAGGCTTCGAGGAGTCAAGGACGGTGGCCGGAGAGACTCTGCAAGCTATCGGGATCGTGGTGAAACCGATAGAGCCGGTTATGCTAATGGCAGTGGCTATGGAAGTCCAAATTCTGCCTTTGGAGCACAAGCAGGCCAATACACCTATGGTCAAGGCACCTATGGGGCAGCTGCTTATGGCACCAGTGGCTATACAGCCCAGGAATATGGTGCCGGCACTTATGGGGCTAGTAGCACCACCTCAACTGGGAGAAGTTCACAGAGCTCTAGCCAGCAGTTTAGTGGGATAGGCCGGTCTGGGCAGCAGCCACAGCCACTGATGTCACAACAGTTTGCACAGCCTCCGGGAGCTACCAATATGATAGGTTACATGGGGCAGACTGCCTACCAATACCCCCCTCCACCTCCTCCCCCTCCTCCTTCACGTAAATGAAACCACTAAAGTGGTAGTGACTTCTGCAAACTTAACTACATTTAAAGGAGCGCTCTTTCCTTTTTTTTTTCTCTTCCCCTTTTCTTTCTTTTTTATTTTTATTTTTTCCCCAACCATTGTGATTTGTCATTCATGCAGATTAGTTAGAATTCACTGCCAGGTTTCTTCTGCCCGCCAAAATGATCCAGTCTGTAATAACAGATTTTGTAAAAAAAAAATATATATATATAGCCGACTGGAAGAGATTTTTTTTTTCCCCCCGACTTCTTGCATGTTGAGGATATTTGAGCTATTTTTCATCTTAAAAGAAAAAGTAAGGTATTAGGCCCTTTTGTTGGAGCCCACTTTTTGTTGTCTTGAGTTGGGGGGTAGGGGAGGGTAGAGGGGTGAATTCTGCAGAAGAAGATGGCATCTCTGCTTTAAATTGCTCTCGTTACTGGGTTAGAAAACCAAGAGGGAGTTCCCTGCACATTTTCTGTAATGCTTTTTAATGTTTTTCAAGCTGGAACAGGGTTCCTCAAGGCCTGATGAGTTTTTAAGACAGTGCTTTGCCATTGTCCTTTTGGCTGATTGCTTGTTAAGTGCATTTGACAGTTTAAAAAAGTTCCTAATTGGTTTTGTCCCCCTTACACTCTGCCTTCCCCCTTCCCAATTATTGAAAAATAACCATTTTAGTGTCAGGTTAGAAATTGAATTGCTGAGTCTGAGTTTTTTAAGTGTATCTTTTAATTAAAAACCCCAAGTGTTTATTGCAGTGGTTAAATGTAGCATCTCAGCATCTGGTGGAAGCTGCCTATTCTTCCCCATATAACCAGGGACCATCTGTGAGATTCATTTTCCAACCAGACAGCTGCTGTGAGCAGAATGAACATAAATACTCACTGGAAATTTACTTTATTAACCAGTTAAGTATGCATTCACCTGCAGTATAAAAATGACCTTTAATTATAAACAATATACTCAATGGGCAAGTTTTCTTGTTAAACTCAGTATCTGTAGAGCTAGGATAAAAGCAGCTGTTTGCTAGCTAGTCAGCCATTTTGGCCAAGTTATCTTGAATAAAGGAACTTAAGGGTTTATTAAGAAAGAATTCTTACTCTCTTCATACTCTGTTCTCTGCAGTGCTTTCTAACAGCTTTTGGGTGCAAATTTTCCTCGGCATCCTTTTGCACTCAGCCTTTTACAGGTAGGTAGTGCTTAAGAAAATTTACGGAGGACTAAAGCCTAAGTCCTTTTACTTTTCCTCCATCTGAAGGTAGGTGAGTTTGTCCCCTTCACAGTAATACTGTTTTACTGAGATTTGCTATAGCAGTTGGGCCTAGAAAGAATTTTCTGCTCTTGTGTTCACCATAACAGGACAGGGAGATCAGACAGCCCCAGAAAACCTCTTCCATATCGAGTGTGGGACTGTTAATTTTTTTTATGCTATTACCAGTATTGTTCATTTACAATGTAGTTAAAGGGGGAAGGCTCCACTGCATTCTTTGGCTGAGGCTTGAGAGTGCTTGCTGGTTTGTAAGATCTAAATATTTGAGGTGTTTGTTTTGTTTTCCTTTTAAAATTCTTCAGGGAGAGAGAAGGGATTGTTTCTGAGGGGTTCTGAAAGTATGGTTGAATGTGCAACATACAGGTAGGTTGTCAGCATAAGCTGAAATATATGCATGTAAGAACTTTGACATCTTTTTTTTTTTTTTTCACTTTCTTCTTTCTTAACTTTACTTCTCTTTTTTTCTCCTTATAGAAGTTGAGGCCAAGGGAGGATGGTAGGCACAGGAAAAACATGGCAAAACTGTTTGTGCTTTGAAACCAAAGTGTTTCCCCAAAAAAGTTGCCTAAGCACTGACCAGTCCATTGTAGACATTTCTTTCTACACCAAAATTCTGATTTTCTTTTTAAAAAAAAAAAAAGAGGTGCCACCACAGGGGATGTCCTACTCTCTTGCAGGTCCGAAAAGCATCCCTTCCCAGGAGAGGTCTCTGGGCAAGCAGTGGGTGTTTGGTCTGCTGCTTGCTTCCTTTTTTCCACCAGGGATGTTGGCAATCATCAAGTCAAAATAACAGCATATCCAAAATCTCAAAAGCTATTGTGGCCCGATTACAGCTGAAATTGAGCAGAGTTTTTCCTGTATAGCTCTAGAATAACTCTTCTGCCTCCATGTCTGTCACTCATAATTCAGGTTCTGTCTTTGCTTCAGAACATGAGCAGAAGAGTCCTCATCTGATGCTAGTTATTGCAGTCATGGTTAAAACTCACTTAGGGAAAAGATTTCAATATTAACCTATGGGGCTGCTTCTCCCCAATCCCTCCCTAACAATTCATTGTGTGGACTTATCTCATCTAAAAGGTTGGTGGCTTTTGCTTGGGATCAGTGCTCTATTCATGTCTTTGCTGGTCTCTCAACACATTCCTGTTGCGTTAAGACTTGAAAGATTTGTAGATGTGTGATGTTCAGGCACAGGATGCTAAGAGCTATGTTACTATTCTTAGTTTGTAAATTGTCCTTTTGATACCATCTTGTTTTCTTTTGTAGGTATAAATAAAACACTGTTGACAATAAGGTGTGAACTTTTTATTGCTTAAAAATTGACTGTAGTCCAAGAGTAGTCTTCTTACAGTTTTTATTTGCTTCAAGACCAAGGTTGAGGATGTTGGATTGACTAGTCACCTTAGCACCTAAAAATGTGAAAGGGAGGTGGGATTGATTGGTCTTAATGCAAAAATTTGAGTTACAAAGCAACAAGACAGAATACCTGGTAGGTAAAGGCTTGGGTATCTGTTTCCTCATCAGTAAAACGATCATCGTGCTAATGGTACCCATGTAGGTTGTTATTTGGTTTTAAGTAATGAGTGTGGGGCTACTGTGAGCCACAGTAAGAATCAAGTCAGTTTTAAAGGTGAGGCACGAAACTACTTAAATCTAGCCAAAGCTGGTAAATTTGGTTTGCTTGTGGCTTGAAGGCAGGTTAGAAATGAAATAATATTTCACACCCATATGGCTATCACCTTCATAGCTTGATTGCCTAAATTTTGTGGTCTCCTACCTAGAAGGTGAAGATTACCACAACAGCAGACTTCTGATACTTGGCCTGTGGTCTTCATTTGGGACATTGGCCTTATACACAGAGGAATATCTTTCCAGATTGGGATTGACTTGTTTCTTTGCATAAGTCTCCCACTAGCACCTTAGAAAGCGGTAGTTTATTTGACCCATTCATGGGTTTGTCACCTAAGGTTTCTTGATGTTCCAGTTGATGTTGTGAGGCACCATATTTGAGGTTTTTCATTACCTCTTTAAGGGAGATATTATTGATGAGAATGTCTTCTAGATGGAATGATCAGTGCTTTGCTGAAGTCCATGCTAAGCATTTTTCTGGCTTTAATTTTAATGTTTGGTCTGAGTCATGTATAAGTCACCCAGGAGAACATTTCATATAGTTTGCTCCATGTACTTGTTGAGGTGTAGAACATCTCAGGGCCCTCAAATTGGCATTGGGAGACTTAACTTCTTTCCTTTAAGGACTAGAAGAAAATAGAGATTAAATTAGAATTTACCATACTGATGAAAGGACTCCTTTATAACTTGGGGCGTAATCTTAGTATCTCTAATGCCCAGTTCACAGTATATATTCAGATGTTAAAGCCAAGGGAGAAACTCCATTGCAGGTTAATTGCAGACTCACTGACCCCTATCTTGGTTACTGATTCCACCACCACCAACTCCCTCGGGCCGTAAATTTAGCAGTTGGCCTCTATTCCACATCTCATGTCCAGTCCATCAGCCATCCCTCATAACGCCACTGGATAGAGCTGTCCACATCTCTGTTTCCACTGATTACCTCTTGCTGGACAACTGCAACTACCCATAAGAAGTCTCCCTGCTTTGGCTGCCTTATACCCCACGCAGAATCTGGTGGGTTGGTTTTTTAAATGACCCTCCAAATGGCAGCAGTTTGCAATCAGAATGCAATGCAAGGGCCGGCTCGTGGCTTAGCGGTTAAGTGCGCGCGCTCTGATGCTGGCGGCCCGGGTTTGGATCCCGGGCGCGCCCCGAGGCACCACTTCTCCGTCTAGCGCGAGGCCGAGTCCCACGTACAGCAACTAGAAGGATGTGAACCTATGACATACAACTATCTGCTGGGGCTTTGGGGGGAAAAAATGAATAAATAAAATCTTTAAAAAAAAAAGAATGCAATGCAAACCCCTTACCCTAACCTGTGAGGTCCTGTGTGATTGATCTTGCTTGACCTCTGATTCAATCTCCAGGTTTATAGATTTTGACCACACTTGCCTTTTTGTCCTTTATCACACCAAGCTAGTTCCTGCCTTAGGGCTTATACATACGCTGTTCTCTGGAATGGTTTTCTGCTATAGTTTCCTAACTAGATATTGTATCAAATGTCATCTCATGGCTGTCTTCCCTGTATACAGTGTTTGCACAGTACATATAATACTCTATTGGTCTGTATTACTTTTTTCATGGCCCTTGTTTCCTGAAAAACTTCCCGTTAGGATGTAAGCACCGTGAGGAGCAGAGACTTGCTTCTGTTCTCTTCTATATCCCTTCAAATTGAATGGATGAGTAACTCCTTAGGCCAGTGCCAGCAACCACTCTGCTCTCCCAGCACCTACCTTTGGTCACGTACAAGTAGAAGAAGTCACAGTAGAAGATGGTTTGTACTACTCCAGACACCACTGCAATTTGGTCATAGAAATTCTCAGTCTGGTACCGCCTGATCCAGTTAGCCAGGTAGAGTGCCCGGTACAACCCGAGAAAGAACAGGTAGTGAGTAGTGATGGTCTCAGCCTCGCCAGTCTTGCTGATCATGAAGAGCTGGGGCAGGATGGCCACTGATTCCAGGTAGATAGAGAAAGTCCAGAGGATCTGAGCCAAAGAGAAATGGCCAGAGGAAGCTGATCAAGACCAAGGAGACCATCTCTTTAAAAGAACTGAATTACTAAAATAATATGTTTATCGGAGAGAATACAGTGAAGCAAAAAACCACATTCTTGAAATTTTTAATATTTTAATCAGTACCTCATTCCACTCCTTGCTCTGTAAATACAAAATATTTTTTAAAAGTCCAAGCATGCTGATTTTTTCACAACATAGCATGAACTGTAGAACATAACTTCTAATTGTTGCAGAATTTTATTGTATAAACTCGTCTTAAATGAGGCTGTGGTTTCTCAAAATACAGTCCATGAACACCAGCATCAAAATCTGAGATGCTTGTTGCCCCACAGTTTTCTTGGGCCACAACCCAGACCTGCTGAGTTAGAATCTTGGCCTGGTCTTGCTCTAGTGTCGCTCAAGGCTTGCTGGACAGGTCTCAGCAGCCGAAAGTGGTGCTGTGATGCCTGCTTTGTTCATGAGCATGACTGTTTAGATGTGCCCATTTTCACGTGGAGCAGTGTGAATAGCTGGTTGCCAATTTCTAAACTTATAACTGAACAATATGTAGTAGTCACGCTTGTAGCAGAAAGCAAGCCCAGCCATTACTAAGAGTCTGGAGGGAAGGATGTTAGGGAGCATGTTTACCTTTGGGGATTAGTACTCTGGGTCCCTGCCCTTACCTCCAGGGGAGTGAAACTGTAGTTCTCAAGGAAGGAGAGGCCAATGACCGGGACCAGAAGAAACTCCAGGCGGAATGTGTCATTCTCACTATCAAACGTTTTCCGAAATGTCCCATAGATCATGTACACTGTGACATAGGCACAGAGGAGAAAAACCACCTAAAAAGAGAGAGAGACATGAGAATCAGTGAAGTCATTTCCCAGCCTATTAGCTGGGCTTCAAGGCCACTCTGAGTTGGGACCTACCAAACCCAAGAGCTAATGCTCTGCCTTAAGGTGGAAGAGGTGAAATGTGTTTTCAATTTCTCCTAGGTCAGTGGCCTAGAACCTGAAGCTAATGACCCTTTTGTTAAGTAACTGATTGTGCTACCATGAAGACTCAAAGGTGCCTAGGCATCTCCTCACAGGACAGCATTAGGCAAAAAAACCTGGACTGGTCTTTGTTGGGGAAATCAGCAGTAGTGTTGCAGGGACCTCAGCTTCTTGGATCTGCATCAGTCACTTGTGAGCATTCTTCTCCAAGGACTAACATCCCTGGAATCAGTTGATCGTTGCTCCTACAGAAAAACTCTCTAATTACAGTAGCTGTTTTCCAGCATATAATGATTTTATGGTCTGGCCTTGAACCTTCTAGGCCAGAGGTTCTCAAACTTGAATGTGCATCAAAATCACATCGATGGCTGCCCTTCCCCTGCCCCCAGAGTTTCTGATTTAGTACATCTGAGTGGGCCTGATAATTTGCATTTCCAGCAAGTTCCTAGGTGATGCTGATGCTGCTGGTCCAGGACCACACTGGCCTCGAGAACTCCTATTTGTACTTCAAAAGTCAGGTTAAGTTATTTCCTCGAATTCTTTTCTCACCAGAATGAGGCACATATAACTCTGTCACCATATCTCCATGTGAAAATATCCACTGCTGCCCATGATCACATGTTCGGTGAGTGTCTCTGTACCAGTCTGTCTCCCCTATGAGAGAAGACTCCTACAAGAGGGTCCATATCCTGTCCACCTCTGAATCCGAGCCCCTAACTCAAGGCCTGGCACAAAACAAATGCTGGAATGAGTGAATGAATCAGTGGAATCGGTGATGACGTCTTCACTTCACACAAGTGGAAACTGGCCTCTTTAAGGTTCCCAAACCTCATTCAGCCATGCCAACAGCTAGGTCTGCAGTCACTGCCAGGATTGCCCAAGTCAGACCCTTGACTTGTGGTATTTGCTACTTGTGTGTTGGATTTAAGTAAGCAGTGATTTTAGGACCTCAGACTGAAGTTTACACTGAGTTCAACACCCTGCAAGTAAAAGCATCCTCTGTTCCACCAATTCTAGGAATGACATGCTTGGAATCCCAAAGGGACATCTCTGATATGGAGGAGAAAGAGAACTTGCTTTGGTTAAATATTTTCTGGGTGCTAGGCACTTGACGTGTAATATTTCAAGTAATCTTCACAATAGCCCTGCAAGATAGGTAGGATTCCCCCCATGTAGCCTTTCTTCCTTAAAAATAGGACTCCTATCAGACGATGTGCCTAAAAACTACATTTCCCAGCTTCCTTTGCAGATAAGGATGGTCAGTGACATGTAGATTGAAGTCACCGGGTAGAGTTTGGGGAAAGCTCTTTTAAAAGGGCTTACCCAGCTGGCAGGCACCCTGTTGCTCTTTCTCCCCTTCCTCCTCCTTCCTGCCCAGAATGTGATATGACAGTAGGCGCTCTAGCACCCAGTTTGTGACCCTGAGGCAACCTTGAGGATAGATATCACATTCAGGACCAGCTATATAATTTGCAGGGCCTCTAGTTCAAAAATTAAGAATTCCAAGGTGGCAACAGCAGAGCATTAAACCAAGCATGGGGCCCTTCTAAGCAACTGCATGGGTCACACACCCATGAATCCTGGTCACACTAAAGACAGCAGAGCAGAAAGTTAAAGGGAGCTACCATCCCAGCCGTCGACTGTCCACCTCCAGACTTCATGTTACGAGTGAGGTAAAAATAAAATCTTACCTACTAAAATAACTCTTATTTTAAGTCTCTGTTACCAGCATCCAAGCAGTTACAGCTCACTTTTCTGACTTGGAAACCTGGGCTTCTTCCACTAAACTCTGTTGCCTTAAAGAGCTAGGATGGCTGGTGAAAAGCTCAGAAAATGCCTCACCCCAACATAACCTAACAATTATGGCCCAGGGCCTGGGTCATCAGAGTGGAACTGAGAGAGGCTCAGTCTCTCCTTCTGTAAAACGGCCATGCGTCAAAGCAACAGTTTCCCGTCACAAAATTAAATCCAAACTGTTAACCTGCACCGTCTGCCCTCGCCCAGCCCGCTGTCAGCATCCCCACCACCAGCGGGCGGCCCTCGTCTGCTGAGCTCCCCACGCGCCCTCCTTCAGTTTGTCCTTTGAATACACCAAGCTCGTGCCTGTTCTGGGGGTCTTGGCACCAGCTATTCCTTCTGCTTCAAATGTTCTTCCTCTTATCTTCACATGACTGATTCCTGTGTCACTCAGATCTCAGCTTTCATGTCACCTCTTCAGAGAGGCCCTTCCTGATCACGCTCCCTGAACAGCTCCCTATTTGCTCTCTGTCGTGTAACCCTATGTTTAAAACATTGTTTTTAATAATCGAAGGAAACATCACCTTATTTTCATTATTTAATTATCCCTAACCCTAACCCAAGTTTTTCTTGCTTGTTTTATTATCTGTCTCCCCAGTTAGAATGTAGATTCCATGAAAACAGGAGCCTTGTATGTCTTCTTCAGGTACGTGGCTTACAGTAGGTGCTCAATAAATATTTGTCGGATGGATGGACGAATAAGTTCTCTGAAAGCTCAGGGTACCATGTTTGATTTTTTGCTTATTTTTTAACCATTATAATGGCTAACCTTCATTGAATGTTTAATATATGACAACTATTGTGTATTCACATTTATTTCCTCGTTTAATTTTCACAACAAAACCCTCTGAGGTAAGTACTAGTAGCTTCACTTTGCAGATGAGGAAACTGAGCACACAGAGGCTAGAGGCCTTGCCCAGGCCTGGGTCCCACAGCTTCTAACAGCCCGAAGTCAAACCCTGGTCTGCCTGGCTCCACAGCCTGAGTCCCCAAGCCTACTGTCTCACCGTTGGGGGGCTCAGCAGGCCCCACCACCATGGCCGCCCGTCCCCCTCACCTTCATCACTGTGTTGTAGATGGAGATGAAGTTGGTGAACAGGTCCAGGTACCTAGTGGTGAAGACGAGAGCGAAAAGGATCTGGCTCTTCCCAGAGATACCTATGGCCAGACGGGGACAGGAGACAATGAGAACACAGACTCCCAGGCCCATGCACACTCAAGAAGCCCAGAGCCTGAGCGGGAAAGACCTCTAGAGTGTCCGATCGCACTTAATGACGACACTCTGTCCAGGGCACTGTTGCTCTCCGAGGGTTAGGAAACACCCCTTCCACTGGATCACTTGAGCCTTTGTTCCCCTCATCAGGCTGTAATCTGTCTCCTAGTCTCCAAATAAAGACACGAACACCGAGTTCCCAGTGCCCCTGCGTGTGCCTGCCTGGGTTCTTGCTCTGGGGAGGGCGTCGGGGGTGGTGTGAGTTGGGCTTGGTGGGGAGTGTCGAGGCTTCTTTTCGCTCCACCCCCAGAGTTCCACTGACAATCCCCAAGTCTCCATCTTTTGGAGAACAACGCTCTGATTTTACAAGGTGTTGATTCACCAAGGAGACTGGAGCAGGCGGAGGAAGGCGCAGGGCCAGCGGAACATTCTATTTTATTTTCCAAATTTTAAAGATTAAAAATGCATTTTCTAGTTATAAAAGTTATAACTATTTTTACTCTTTGTAAAACAAGAAACAGATAATACATAGAGATATAAATAAAAAAGCAGCAGTCACCTGAATCCCAAAGCCTCAGTGTGCGTCCTTCCAGATCTTTGCTGGCACACACGTGCACACGACATATGTGCACACATATGACACATAGAGACGCATCGAGTTGACAGAACTGGGGTCATACTTTCCATGCTATTTGCTGACCTGCTTTGGCCTCTTTCTTTAACTTTTCATTTTGAAATAATTTTAGATTTACAGAAGAAGTGTAAAGACAGTACAGAGTTCCCATATACCCTTCACCCAGCTTCCTCTAATGTTAACATCGTGCATAATCACAGAACATTTACCAAAACTAAGAAACTCACATTGGTATAGCACTATTGCCTGAACTCCAGACTTGATTCAGATTTCACCAGTTTTCCCACTGACACCCATTTTCTGTTCCAGGATCCAATCCAGGAATTAAAGCTGCATTTAGCCATCATGCTCCATAGTCTCCTTTTGGCTACTTTTTTGATACATCATGGAGGTGGTTGCAGGATCAGGCCAGCGGATGCCCTGCCTCCCTTGTCTCTTGCCTTATCAAGCCCACACCAGTCTGGATACTTCACCAAACCACTCCCCTCAACAACGCCCATGGCTCTGTATCCAAAGGTCACCTCTGTCCTCCCTCACCCAGTCTCTCAAGAGCCAGCTTAGCACTCCGTCTGTCCCGAACCACACTCTTCCCCTGGCTTCTGCAACTGTCCACACTGCTGGCTTCTCACCTCCTCTGGGCGCTCCTGTCCTCCCCGCCACCTAGTCCTCAGAGAGCTACATTCCTTCTCCCCCTGTCCCTGTGCCATCTCATCCCACATGCCAGAGACACTCTGGCTCTGGACTCTCCTCCAAGTTCTGACCTATATATTCCTGTCTGACCAACTCATCATCTCCCCTCAAACTCCCTCCTTCTCCTGTCTCCCCTCCTTCATAAATGCCACCATCATCCCGTCCGTGCTCAAGCTAAAAAACCGAGAGCCATCCTTGAGTCTCTCTCCCCTTATTCCTCCCCCTCCATATTTCTCAGCCCCACTGCCTCCAATCCGATGCCGCTCATTCGGCCCAGCCGCCCTACCCCAGTGATCCAACCAGTCTCCCCAAGTCCGTCCTTGCTGCCCACTCCTCCCCCAATTCCACTCAGCAACCAGTGGGCTATTTTTAAAATAAAATTCTGCTTGAAGCCCTTAAGTGGCTCCCAAATGCACTTAAAATAAAGACCCAAATCCTTATCATGGTTCTTGAAGCCCTGCCTGGGCTGCTCTCGTAGCCTCCCTGGCCCCCCATCTGATCACTCTCCCCCCACTCACTCCCTCCAGCCATGGGGATACGTCTGGGTTTTATTCTAAATGTAATGGAACAACTGGGGAGTTTGGCACCGAGAAGCGACATGACCCAATTCAGGGTCTGGTCCCCTTGTACGCCTGAACTGTGCCTTATCTAACTATTCCTATTCCTCTGGTACTGGACATTTGGGGGACGGGGACAATTTTAACAACTGAGGATGAACACCACTGAAGCCCCTAACATTCTGGAGAGCACTGGGTCCATGTGCCTGCGCCTCACACTCCTCCTCCCTAAAATGGGCATCCTCACACATCCGGGGCAGGCTCACAGGACTAAATAGGATTCAATGAGAACGTGAGTGGCTCCTGGCAGCAGAGGGGGCTGGCTGTGGGTGAAGAAGCCCCTCAGGGGGTGGAGTCCGGGCGGCAGTACTGACCGGAGGCCAGCTCCTTGGGCTGTGCCTGTTGCTCCGCCAGCTTACCAAGCCCTCACAGAGGCCTTGCCAGGGAGGCCCCAGGCCCATTTAGGAGGGCCCAGGAGGCAGCCCTGGTGAGGGACGCTTAGCTAACCCCCTCACACCTCACGCGGCCTTCCCCGACCCTCCCTTCTTTCCGTCCTCAGCCTGCCAGGCCCCTGGGCTTCACTCACATTTTCCTAGCACTTTGGGAGCCCTGGCGATCTTGAGCACAGTGGTTTTCACACTTTTTTGAAAGGAGTGAATAATTTCCACCAAAGCAAGCCGTACGGGGAGACCCAGGATATAGAAGAGAACATGAGCCGGTACCTGGCCAGAGTCCTTCAGGGGTCCACCGAGCACATATGGGACCCACTGACTGGGTGCAGCCCTTCCTCCCATTTGACAGATGGGGAAACTGAGGCCCAGGGTGACACAGTGCATCAGTGGTGGAGCAGAATGAAGCCCCAGTCTCCTGCCATCAGGGCTGGGTTAATGGGGGTCACACCAGGGCTGACAGGGCTGGCATCCAGACCACTCACCTCCTCAGATCTCTACCAGGCCTGTGCCGATCCCTCTCCACACACACACACACACACACACACACACGCCCCACCACCCAGCTGCCCTTTTCCTTTTCCCAGAGTGCTCAGCACCTCTAACAAACCCTATCATTTACTCGGTTGCTACGACCGTGGCTTGTCGGCACTCTCCCACTGCTGGCAAGTCAGCTCCACAGGCCAGGATCTCGGCCAGGTGCCTCGTCCAGTGGGCTGGGGAACAGCGCCCCCTCCTGGTCATGGTTGCTCACCAGGTCCAGGCCCAGGTCCGTGGAAATGCAGGAATGGGTCCCTTCCCCTCACTAGAGCCTTCTGCCCCTGCTCTCTTCTCTCAGTATTCCTGGCCCACTTTCCCTGAGTGGGAACCTGAGGGGCTGTAAGTGCCTTTCTCTCCGGAGACCCCAAACCAGAACGGCCTCCAGGTCTAGAACCTCTCCCTCTGCATTGACTCTCACATCAGCACCCACCCCTCACCCCTGCCAAGCCTCCTAGGCTGGCAGCCTCCACACTGCTCTCTCTGCTTCCTCTCTCCACACAGCTTCCACAGTGACCTTCCGAGCCCCCTCCCCTGCTCCCAAACCTTCCACGGCTCCCCAGTCCCAACTCCCTAGTCTGACAGACAAGGCCCTTTCACATTTGGACCACCCGCCATCCTGGACTCATCTCCCTCCCAGACCACTCCCAAATTGGGCTGCTCACCCTTCCCTGGACGTGCCCTGCCCTCTGTGACCTCTGGGCTTTTGCACCCCCAGTGCCCTTCTCACAGCACACCCTTCCTGGGGGACACCCTGCTCATCTTCCACGAGCCAGCACAGAGCTGCTCCCTCCATGAAGCCATCAGGGGTCTGCTCTCTGCCTCCTTGAGCCCCACGAGGAGCCTGCGTTCATCTCTGTATCCCCTCACCCCAGTACCAAGAACAGGGCCAGTGCCCCAGGACACCAGCGGGCAAAGATGGCTGCAGGAGGCTCGGGCAGCCTCTTAATGCACTGGATCTGTTTGGCCACCACCAATCCAGCCCTGAAACTTCTCCAAACATCCAGCAGGGCAGTCAGACTGCTGGGCAAAAGGCGGACCCCTCCCACCCTCCCCGGGCTTCTGCTCAAGGGCAGCTCCATGCCCACCTGGGCCGGGCTGGTGCCCCTCCTGCCACATCACAGCTGCCTGTGCCACACGCAGGCGGGGGAGGGAGCAGGGCCCAGCCTGGGGAGATGTCTGGGAGGCAGCAGGGGAGAGTGATGGGGGGAAGAAAAGAGAAGACCCTAAGAGTTGGGGGCCACTTCCTGTGGAGGTACTTCCCCTGTCCCCACACCTCCAGTCCCCCATCCTGGGCCTGAGTGAGAACAGAGAAAACAATGGGCTCAGGAGAGTGCTGCTCCTGTGCAGCAAAGGGGAGGACTGGCGGGAGGGAGGGGTGTCACCTCTTTCTCCTCCTCCTCTTCCAACTAGCAGTGACAATGCCAAGGGGGGAGGGAAGGAGGGAATGGGGGCTCAGCCCACCCTCCCTCCATAGTCTCCAGGGTCCTCCTTCTTTGATGTGGTACAACTTGAAATTTTCTTTGGAAGCTGAGCTGTGCAAAAAACAGTTTCAAGCACCCCCAAGCTGAAGTCCCCACCCTGAACAGACCTTCAGGCCTCCACCCGCACCCCGCCCAAGCATGGGATTGGCAGCGGAGGCGAGGTGGTGGCCTAGGCCCCCGCTCCCCGGTCCCCCACCTCCCGCCCGGGGCGCCCCTCACCCGCGCAGCACTTGGACCTCCAGATCTTCCCCAGGAGCAAGATCATGGCCAGGAGGTGGCTCAGGTCGCCGAGGATACGGAACACGTTCATGGTCCAGCCCGCCGGCCCTGCGCCCGCGCGCAGCCAACTCCTGGAAACTTTGTGGCGGGCGAGGCGGCTGCCACGTCCCGGCCTCTGGTCCCGCGCCGCTGCCCGCGCCCCCGAGCTCCGCGCTCCCGCCCCGGCC